ACCAAGGTCGAGGTCATTCTGACCCCCTGGAGCTTTTGGAGTGTCTTCCTGTCTAGGGGAATGTTGCAGTGGGAGGTCTGGGTGGGAGCCAACTTGGGGCAATCTAGGAGCAGGTGGAGGCCTGAGAGAGCAGCAACTGCCTGTGAGCCCTTCTTTAGCCTGCTGAGAAGTCTGTCCTTCCTTCACCGTGGTGGGCTTGACTTTTCCCACATCCCCACTTACTTCTCATCCTATTCTGGGTTTGCTTCCAAATGCAGTTTGGAAAAGTCCCTGTTGAATGCCAGCCAGGGCTTGTTCAATCAGATCCTCCTATGATCCAGTATCCTGCATGTCTGTCTCTCATTCCGTCACCGAACAAACTTTTAAGTGCTTAGTATATGCCAGATACATGGAGTACAGTAAAAACTGGGGTGGGGATAGAAATCACTGCCCTTACCAAAGTTCTATTATAAGGCAATCAGACAGTAAGTAAAACATGGTCAATAAATTACTCAGAGGCTGAGTATCCCTTATCCAAAATGTTTGGCTACAGATCTGTTTCTGATTACAAAATCCCTTTGGATTTTGGGATATTTCTATAGACTTTTAGCATTCCTAAGACACAAATCTGAAAGCTGTAACTTAAAAGTGTGCAGATTTGGAACTCGTCAGATACTGGATTTTCGAGTTAGTATTCAGGTCAACCTGTATTCACCCAGAAGGGGGTAGCTTTAGAAAAAGTCAGGCTGGGGAAAGAGGACGAAGACATGGCGAGGAAGAGGGACACGCTTTAAGAGAATTGTAGGAGTGGGTCCCAAATGAAAGGTGGTTGGGATAGAGACGTGAAGAGAGATCTCTGTGAACATCTGGGGGGAAGGGCACCTGACCTAGCAGGTTGGAGGCCAAGGATGGAGTGTGCAGGGTGACATCTAAGAGGTCACAGAGGGTGTGTGGGTTGTGACTTGGCCTTGGTTCACGGAAGCAATGGGCAGGGAGGGACCTCAGGTGTTTAAGCATCTCTCTGTAAAGATGCTGCAGGGAAGCAAAGGTGGCAGTATAGCTGTTGAAGGAACTGGGGCTTCACAGTACCTTGCCCCAGGGTTGAAGCATTTGTGTGTGTTGGAGCTGAAACTGGCATCTGGATCCTGTGTCAGAGCCCATGCACTTGGCCATATGCCATTCTTGTCAGGCTTCTCTCCCTAGTGGGTGGGCCCCAGTAGGGTATTCACCCAGGCCCAGGTTGTAAGGAAGAATGGGGTAGGCATGAATATAATCTACTGCCCTTTCTTCTGCCCCTACAGCATTTCCCTGGGGCTCCAAATCAGGGAGGTCCTATCTTCCCTAAGAGATCGTGCCAAACCTAGACGTACATGTGGGATGTGGGAGGCCCCAGAAGCTGAGCCCAGCCCTGGGCATCAAGGGAACTTGGGCATGCCTGGGCCGTAGCTGTGGTGGTGGGTTGCTAAGCGACTCCAAGAGGGAGCCCTGGTTACTGCTGCCTGGCAGAGGCATCTCCCTCTTCTACCTCCCTCACCTTCTTCATGGCCTCTGGCCTCCCAGGAGGCCTTGTGGGCAAACCAGAGTTGTCATCAGTGCTTGCCACTGGCTCTTGGCTAGGAGCTCTGATTGGCACCAGGTGTCTAGGCCCTAAGGAGATAGGCTGGGATGCAAGCGTTGGGCTTCTCTCAGGGGCACAGCCCTGTTGCACATCTAGAACAGAGCCCAGTTTAGCACTCAGGGGTCTAAGTTTCCACCCCACCCCAAGCTCCAGGCCACCTCTCTGAGTAAACCTGAGCAAAGCCTGGCACCCCTCTGAGCTCAGCTGCCTCATCCATCTGGCTTGCAGAACCTGTCCATGGGGCCTCATTCATGGAGAGTGAAGGTGCTGAGTGGGCGGGGCTTCCCCATGCTGAGGACTTGAGTGTCTAATGATTCAGATTTACATCAGATTTCATTTAGAAAAAGAGAATCCTGTTTTTAAGGGGGAAAACGTTGCAGACTTCTAGATGAGACCGTTTCACAAACTGTTCAGTGTCAAACTGGAAAACTCCACAGAGCACAGCTGGCCCAGGTCATCAGTGTGTGTAAAGGGACAGCCCTGGAGCGAAGGGTAGACTTCTCCTAGGTCAGACTTTGTGGAGTGGGTGGGAGGAGTTCCAAGCTGGGGTCAGGAGGCCTGGGTGGCATATCCCGTGACACCGGGTCCTGGGCCACCTCGGATAAACTCTTTTTTTCCCTGGGCTGTGACATGAGGCCATGACATGAGACCGGGGCTTGAACTCCCAGCTCCTGTCTGAGTCCAGGGTGGGGGCAAGGGGAGGAAGCTGTGAATCCTCAAAGGCCTTTATAAGGCTGTAAAGAATAGGAGCTTGTTTGAAGCACTTGCAAAAGGCTAAGAAGGAAGCACAGAACTTGTAGACTGTCTTGACCTTGCAGCCCACACCCAGCCTTCCACACGGGCAGCTCTTGGGCATGAGCTGCATGGGAAGTTTGAGGAACATGTGAGCACCGGCTAAGAGCCTTTTCAAACTCCCTGACCTTCCCTGGCCTGTAGCAGAATGGAATGTCCTCCACAAAGACCAACCTGAAATCATACTTGACTCTGTGCCAAACGAGCTGCGTGACCTTGGCAACTCACAGTCTCGGAGCCACACCCTTCCTCGCTTGGAACTAAGGATCCCTATCCTGACTCTATAGGGTTTGGCATAATGATTACAAGAGATAAGTACTTAGGGATCCCAGGGCCAAATGGACTGGTACTATCTAGGTGCAATTACCTGGCAGTGTCCTTTCTCTCCCCCACCCCCACCCCCGCCCCAGCACTCTGAGCTACATAAAGCAGTGTTGCCTGATGAACTTCCATTCCAGAAGGACTGGGAAGGTGGGAGGTGGAGCTTCTGGCAAGGCCAATAGTCCTAGGGGGAAGAGAGCTGAGGCCTCCTAGGACTGAACACAGGTGTGGGGGAGGGGCAGGGAACCAGGTGCATGGGCGGGCCAGGGAAGGGAGGATCTACCTGAGGGAACATCACTCCCTGGGGGTTCAGCTCCCCTCCTCACGGAGCCCCAGGAGAAGCCAGGCAGGGCAAGGCTGCCAAGCTCCAGCTATTGCCTCCCAAGTCCGTAAAGTGCCAAAGACAGCCAGCTTGGTGGAGCAGGGATGATGGACAGCCAGCCTGGTGGAGCTGGGATGATGGAGATAATACTGGGTAGGAGAAAGGATCTCTGGAGACTGATGGGGACAGGAGGCAAGAAGGAGAATCCTGTAAGATTAGTGGTTAGGGTGTGCCTAGGTGGGTTAGCAAATTAAGAGCAGATCCAATGACCTGGGCAGAGCTGGAGTGTTGCCTGGTGTCATTGCTTAGCTGTGGGGCTGTGGGCAAATTACATCATGCTTCTGGACCTCTGTCATGTGACAGATGAAAAAGGGTAATTCTGGCCTCCCCAAGTGATTAATGCCCAGCACAACTGCACTTAAGTCTTGGTGTTCAGGAGATGGTGACCAAGCAGGTCTGTTGGGTCTAGGAGTAAGTACTGACCAGACAGAGGCTTAGGAGCACCTGGAGTGTTCACAAACACCAAACCACACCCATTAGCTCAGGGAATGATATAACAGCCTTAAGAGATGGTGATGACTACAACATGCATTTCAGAGTAGCTCAGAGACTGATGCATAGCCATGGTTACACAGCCAGGTGGCCAGATAGCCAGGCATCCTGCCCGGTCCTCGGCTACACAAGCCCATGCTGTCTGCACAACAGTGTCTGATCAGGAAGGCCAAGGCTACTGGACAAGGGACCCAGCAGAGATTCTACACCAGGTTTTTGTGGAAGTTCACCTCGGAACTCTGGACAAGGCTGTCCAATGCACATGATGACCCCAAGGGCACTCCCCATTGACACAATAGAGATTCAGATGAGGGTATAGGTAGGGTAGGGGCACTGCCCATTGACACAATAGAGATTCAGATGAGGGTATAGGTAGGGTAGGGTGGCAGCGGTAAAGGCCAGGAGGTACTGAGGGCGAGCAGACAGACTCTGTGGAACCTTATTTAAGCAAGCTTCTTCACTTGTTTGAAGCTGTCTCCCTGACCGTAAATGGGGAATATGTGGGAAATTGTATAAAGGTCTCTTGAGAAGGGGGCTTTGAGAGCAGAGCTGAGCCAGATGGGTCAGAGGGACAGGCAGCCTCTTGAACATGAATAGCTCTGAGGTCTCCTTGGTCAATCCTGGGCCTCTGGAGTTTACAGGCACTTAGAGGAATTGGGGGTCAATTTCCAAAAAGTCTCAGGCTTATAGACTTATACCTATCCAGGGGCCACCCCCACCCCCCGCAGCCTGTTCGGCTTTCTCTGGCCAGGCCTTCCCACAAAGGGTTAACAGTCCTCTCTACCTGCAGTTGCATTTTAAAGACACGAAATTAAAGCAGGTAATTTATTCTCCCCACACACGAAAGAGCAATTAGTTCTAAACAGGGCTTAATCAGTCACCGCGAGATTGATTTCTGGAGCCCTGGGTTTTCGGGCTCCTGGCTTCATGCCAGGCTGGGAAGGGAGGGGGGCGGACAAATGAGCCGCGGCGGTGGCATGAGCCCTTACATAATCTACTGGGGGGGGAACCTCACAGTCTAGCCAGCCCCTCCAGAGGCTTGGCTGAGTTTGGGAGATGGGGTCCTGCTCCCCTGCTGAGGGGTGGCACAGGTTCAGTGTAGAGCTCAAAGTGGGCCATAGCCCTTAAGCCCCAGCCCTGTCCTCTGGCTGTATCTACGCGAGAGGTGGGACAGGGCAGGACGAGGTCATCTTTGGGGATAGATGTCTGGGTTTGTCCAACGTGGTACTTACACCTGTGCTCTTGTTTTCTTCTACTCCCCTTTACCCTCCATTAATCCTTCTATTTCCTCTCATCCTCCTCTGACTCCCCCCACCCCTTATTTTTTCTTCCCATCTTCCCATCACTTTCCCCTTGATCCCTTTAACTTCCTCACTTTCCTCTTTCTGCCACCCATGCCCCTGTCTCCGACCACAGAACTCCATCCGGCACAACCTGTCGCTGCACACCCGATTCATCCGTGTACAGAACGAGGGCACTGGCAAAAGTTCGTGGTGGATGCTGAACCCTGAGGGTGGAAAGACTGGCAAGACCCCGCGGCGCCGGGCCGTATCCATGGACAACGGGGCCAAGTTCCTGCGCATCAAGGGCAAAGCGAGCAAGAAGAAGCAGCTGCACCTGCCGGAGCGGAGCCCAGACGACAGCCCTCCTGGTGCACCGGTTCCAGGGCCCCTATCGGCCTCAGCCAAGTGGGCCACCAGCCCGGCCTCACATGCCAGCGACGACTATGAGGCGTGGGCCGACTTCCGCGGCAGCGGGAGACCCCTGCTCGGGGAGGCGGCCGAGCTGGAGGACGACGAGGCCCTGGAGGCCCTGGCACCGTCCTCGCCACTCATGTACCCGAGTCCCGCAAGCGCGCTGTCGCCAGCTCTTGGTGCGCGCTGCCCGGGCGAGATACCACGTCTGGCCGAGCTGGGAGGCCCGCTGGGTCTGCACGGTGGCGGCGTCGCGGGGCTGCCAGACGCCCTGCTGGACGGCGCGCAGGACGCGTACGGGCCACGGGCACGCGCC